TAAAATTTAAAAAAAAAAATTTTAAAAAACAAAAAAAAATACAAAGCCCCTCACCCCTGGGCTGATAGGCAATATGACAGAGGGAGAAAAGTTTGCAATTGTCAATCATTTCCTCTTGCTTGGATCCACAATCAATGTCCTGTCCTTTGTTCTAGTAGGCAGGGGGGTACTGCATTGGGAAAGTCTGTGGTCAGGGATTTTTCCAAAGTCCTGAAGAGCAAATGATGTCACCTGAGACTAAGGTGTGCCAGAATCAAGCCATGGTCTTTTTATCACTTGCAGTTCATCTGAGAGCTGGACAATGAAAAAGGATGACAGAACTGATGACTGAGCTGTGGTGTCACAAGGACAGGCAGATGTGTCTAGGGAACAGTGCAGCCAGGGTGTTCCTTGGAGGCAGGGATCACAAAGCTTTGTCTCACTCCTTTTAGGCATGTTGCTAGGAGAAGCTGTTCCTTGGAAAGAGAAATGTTTGGAAAGGAGGAGAGGCAGCAGAGAGAAGGACCTCAGTGAGGTGGACTAACACAGTGACTGCAGCAGACAGAAATGAGGATGGCACAGGACAGCGTGGTTCGGGTCTGTTGTTCACAGGGTAGCTGAGTGGTCGTCAACTTGACATCTTCTCACAGGAAGCCCCCAGAGCCCCTTGTGGTCTTTGAAGGAAGAGCTACTGCTAATTCATGAGGTCACCCTGGTGAACATAAAGTGAGTCAGCCAAGAGGTCACGGCTGTTCTAGAATGCAAAAGGTATGCTGACAGTACATCCACAAAACCCCCAAAGAAATTGCAACCATTCTGCACAGGCTTCACTTAACCTCCTCCTACTTAACTCTGAACTAGGGTGGCTGGTTCACTGTTGCGTGGTCTCCCCCTCTGAAATGAAACAGCTTCCCAAGCAAAGCCAACAGGCCTTCCTGCCCTACAAAGCCGTGTCCTGGCCAGTGGTACAGTGTCCTCTATTTGACGGCTTCTTTCTTCAGCTTCTGGATCTTACATTTGCGGTTGTTTAAGCTATGCTTCCATTTTTAAAGTAAAGCTGTTATATTCTCCAACAACTGTTACTTCTTTTCTGACTGGCTTTTTCTTCAACAAGGAGAATGCCATGAATTCAGTTTTTCCTTAGAAGCACAAAGATAACACTGCTGTCCATTTCAACATAGCTATTAACATGGACAATAGAACAGAAATATAAAATACCTTGCTTCCATCCTTAGGAGGGTCCGATGTCTCAGTCCACAGACAGGAGCCATGTGCTTGTGGTCAAGGACCACTGTCCCGGGCAGGAGGAGCAATGGCAGGTTAGGTGTTCTGGGAGGAGACTGTAAACAAATCTGTTAGCTGCCATGGAGGCTCTTACATGAGGGCATCAGCCTAGGGAACCTGTGGGAACTGGCCCGACCATGAGATTCTACCTCGTCTGGGTCCAGAACAGCTCCTTGCTCCGCTGGCCGCCCCAGCACTTTCACAGTCCCCACGACAGCTCATCTGTGCAGCTCTGAGCATCACCGTGTATGGACGTAAGCACACAGGAGCCCCCAGAAAGGTCTTTCATCTCCTAGGAGAACACATCTCCAGTTATTGGCAATGACCTTGACCTTTAAGGTTGGAGGGCAAGTCTATATACAAGAAACAGCAGTGAGAACCACAACTTTGAAGGAAGACTTTAAAACTCCAAAGCAACAGAGAGCAAGACCTTGTGAACACAGCCCTGACCGCCCTCTTCACGTGCATACCTTTGCCGACTGGCTCCCTGGACCCCGGCCCTCATCTTTTACCAGTACAGGGGTCAAAACAGAAAGGCCAATGACGGTTATACTTACCAAATGATACTCAGCATTCAATTAAAATTAATAAAAATATTTTATTGAATTTCAGGAACTTGGTACTTTTTCTGTTAAAATTTCAAATCTTTGCACACAAATCATCACTGTACTTCCTAGAATAGTGTTAAGTTAGGAGTTCCAGATTGTTACTTACATCCTGTGTCACACAGCACAGAAACCCAAGTCCTGGTGCCGCCCACCCCCCCCCTCTGACCATAACTACCGACTACTGTTAGACTAGCAGAGGACAGTGACGGAAGTGGTGGGCATTCAAGGAGCTCCACTGTCCTCGCGCATGCTCTCCTGAAGCCAGAGGAGCAGAGTCCAGAAGTCTTCCCGCGGGCGCTGTGGGCACAGCACGTGATCTGCTTCTGCTGAGTGTCCCTTCTATTACCATCTAGTGCTGGCCAGAGCTGTGCAAGCGAAGGTTCTATTCCCTGAGGGAGCTCAGGAGTTTGGCAAGGGCCAGAGCAAAGGTGCCTTGGGCACTGAGAAGAATGGAACCCGTGGAGAGCAGGGAGCTCCCAGGATAGGCACCTGCATCCAGAGCCGGAGTGGGGCACTAACACAGCCCGAGAGCCCAGCAGCTGCTTCCTGGTGTCCCAGAGGGATTCTCTGGGTCCTGAGGGCTCAACTCCAAATGCAAAGCAGTACCTTGGGGCTGGAGACCTTGGCTATGATTCCTGCAAACCCACAGTGGGGCTGGGCAGACAGACCTCAGGCTGCAGCAAGGATGAAGAACTTGGAGCAAAGCTCACCCCATCCCTACATGACCCGAGATTCTCGCATAGACAACCCGTACAAGCCAGCTCCAGCTCAGACTCACCGTCCTCTGGGTCCTCCCAACTTCCTGGAGAGCGGTGCCCAGGGGCTGTGCAGGTAGCTTCTGAAGGTGTCCTATCCACCCCTGCCCGGGGAGGTCGAGAGCCCTGGATAGCCCAATCTCGGGACGTAGGGTCAAACTGCCAACTTTGTCAACAGGTAACAATGGCAACCCCAGGCGTCCGGCATGTACTCCAAGCACCACTGCCCATGCGCACAGCCAGGCCGGTGTCACCCACATTCTGAGTCCCCGATCAGCTCGTGTGTGTGGGGCTCACGGTCTCATCTTCAGCACGCACGTCTGCGGTGACAATGTCAGCTCCACACGGGGCTCTACACATGATGCTTACAACACATTTATCATATTTGGTCTTTAGGTAAATAAGAAATGTTTTAAAATTGCCTAAATATACCATTCTGAGCTGTTTCATTCCATGGGGGCGGGGGGTGTTCTTCTCTTAAAAAAATTTAAATACCAAAATAACTACCTTTAAATAAATAATGTTATGATGATGACATTAAAAAAAAAAATCACAATGTGGCTGACCCCCAGCGTGGGTGGCTCCAGCCTCCCCAGGGCACTCTGAGAAGAGGTGCTTTTTTTCTTGGGGGGGGGGGCAGGTAGGCTGCGGCTGCCTGAGGCATCACTGCTCCTCACTTGGCCACCTTCCTGCGCTCACAGATGAGGGGTCAACTAGGTACTGGCTGCAGTTCTCAAAGGTCCAAGGGTTCTGACTGTGGATCAGAAACACCTTAGCATTCAGACATGGACTGCTGCACTGGCCTCCCAGGCCTGGCGACTGCGGCCCTGGCCGTTGTCCCGGGACCTGGATGAGCACTCAGGTGGGTCCAGAGCCGGGGATGACACAAAATGAAGACAGTATCAGGAGAGAGCTGAGATCCGTGAGGCAGGATAGAGTGCATGGGAAATGATGGAACCTCTCTCCTCCAAGGAGGTGGTCACAGCTCTGTCATTTTGAACATAACGTGAAACTTGTTAAGCCAGTTCTACTCAGAGTAGAGAAGCAGCAACAGAAAATAGCAAGAAAGAAATCCCAAGTGCAGCTCTGTTGAGTCCAACAGTCCTTCACCTGTGGCCACTGAGCACTGAGCCGAGGTCCTGTCACATGCAGCCTGGCCTCGGTCACCTCACAGGAGGTGGGTCATTCGTCAGGCAGCTACCCGCATGCAGCTTCCTCAGAGATGGTCATCTCAACTCTACTAGGACAGACAAGAGGAGTCATTCCACAGGCTGGGAACTAACAACAACAGCAGTATCCTTTCTTTTCCCGAGGGGAGATTTCACATGAACTGCGTGATTCCAAAATTTCCAGCGTAGAAATGGAGTGATCTGAAATGCCAACAACCCCGTTACTTTTAAAAGAAAGGATCCCTTAAAGAGTCTACCTCCTTGTGTGTCAAAACACTGTTCTCAGCGGCTGCCATGGTGGCCTCAGGGGCAGCGGTCCTGACGTTGACTACGGCTGTGGTGGAAGGAGGCCGCGTTCCCTCAGGGCTCTGCTGTGTCGCTGTCCCCAGGTGCCAGCAGAGTGCCGAGGGAGGAGGCTGTGCTCCGTCAAGGTCTGGCTGTGTGTGGTTTTTTTTCAAGTGTGGGTTGTTTGAGATCAGGAGTCTTAAGGCCACCCGGGTTTGCGTTTTGAGTGCTGAGGGGTCAAGTCCAAGAGCGGCCCCGACCACCGGGAGGATGCCTCCTTTGGCATGTCCTAGTTCTGGACGCCCTTGTCCCGCATAGCAGTGGGTGCGTCCACACTCACAGCAATGACGATGCCCTCCCCATCCTCGGTCTTGATTCGCTTCAGTTCTGGCTGCTCTGGTGACTCTCCGTTTTGCCGCTTTGTAGGCAGGGACGCCGACGCTGATGCATGGGTCGCCAGCATGTGTAAGGGGCTCGCAGTGGCTGCAAAGAGACAACAATCAGAACGGGAACTAGAGTCTTGATGCCCGACCGCCCACAGAAGAGTGGAGGGCAAGGAGCCCAAAAAAGTGCAGAGGAGAGACCACCTGGTAGTGGCAGAACAGATGCAATGCTAACCCTCTCGTGGAGTTTCAGGGACAGTGAACTGCACTAGCAGACGGCCCATTCTCTACACTGGAGCGGCCTGTGGACTTGAACCAACTGCCTTTGGGTTTGCACAGTGACTTTCCCCGTGGACCTCCCCTCATGACTGCAGGAATCAGACCCACTTCCTCTCTGGAAGGACTCCTTAGAGCAAGCAACTCGGGATCCGCGGTGAAAACAAGGCTAGGTGCTGAGGACGCAACAGACCATCAGTCACCTCTGTGCAAGTTCAAACTGAGGCCAGAGAAAATGAAAACAAGTCCACGAGAACCAAAATATGACCTTAATCCAGCCTATCTAAATTTAAAAATCATCTCAAAAACAGGTTTGAAGCACTGAACACCAATGACTGAAAACCAGAAGAGCTATGGGATGGCATCAAGGATATGGTCCATGAAGAGAACAGGTCATTACAAAGACATAGGAGAAAAAAATAGGCCAAAATGAATGGCAGACGAGACTGAAAATTGTACAAAAGTGCTGAGAAGCCAAAACAAAATGAAGATATGCTGAAGTAAAAGAGTTGAAAAGAAGATTTCAAGGGCAGCTAGAGAAGATAGATCAAAAGTATTATAATGAAAAGTGCAGTAGCTCTGGTGGCCTAGTGGCAAGAAGCTGCACTGCAATCCCAGAGGTACGCAGTTCAAATCCACCAGATGCTCTGCTGGAGAAGGAGAGGCAATCTCCACCTGTACCAGTCAGATCCAATTTGATGGTACATACACAAAAAATAATAAAAAAATTTTACCAGATGCGGCCTGGAGGAGGCATAATCTCCTCCTGTTGCAGTCAGATCTGATTTGACGGTACACACACACACACACACAGAAAAAGAATAAAATTTAAAAAATAATAAAAATGTGCTGAGACCTAGAATTGGAGAATAAAAAGAGAGGAACTAGCTCGCCATTTCTCAAGCTGCACTGAAGGCACTGGCAATAAAATAAGGCCCCAGCAATCAGTGGGATACCAGCTGACACATTTCAACTCACAGACATGCTCACTAGTCTATGCCAGGAAATTTGGACTGCCTGATGGACTGACCTGAAGAGAAGAAAAGTGATCCAACAGAATTCTCAAACAGTATCATTACTATCACACACAAGCAAATATTGCTTAAGATCATCCAAACAACTAGAATGTTTTAGAGGGAAAATTCCAGAAGTTCAAGGTGAGTTTGGAAGAGGCCTTGGCACCAGGGATATCATTGCCACCTACATCAGATGGATCCTGGCTGAAAGTAGCGAAAACCAGAGTAATGTCTATTTGTGTTTTATTATTGACTAAACAAAGGCTTTTGACTCTGTAGAGCAAACTATGGTTAATATTGAGAAGAATGGGAATCCCAGAACACTCAATTATATTCACATGAAACTTATACCCAGACCAAGCTGTTGGACGAACAGAGCAAGGGAACACTACATGGTTTAAAATTAAGAAATATGTCCATCAGGGATGTGTTCTTTCTCCATACCTACTCAATTTGTATGCTGAGCAAATCATTCCACAACCCAGACTTTATGAGGGAGAGTGTGGCATTAAGATTGGAAGACGACTCATCAATAAAACTGTTATGCAGAAATGACACACCTTGCCTGCTCAAAGTGAGGACTTCAAGTGCTAGTATCAAAGGTGATACAACCTCCATATGGATGACAATTCAGCATAAAACAAAACGTACACCACTGGGTCAACAGGCAACACCATGATAGATAAAGAAAAGACTGAGGTTTTCAAGGATTCCTGGATCCACGATCAACATCCTTATTACCAGCATCAGGAGATCAGGTTGCACTGGGGAAGTATGCTGTCAGGGACCTCTCCAAATTACTGAGAAATAATGATGTCAGTTTGAGAACTAAAGTATGTCTGATTCAGGTCATGGTCTTTTCAATCACTTGCTATGCATCCTAGAGCTGTACAATGAATAAGGATGGCAGAAAAATTGATGTCTTTAACTATGGTGTTAGAAAGAGTACTGAATATGCCATGAGTGGCCAAAACAGCAGAAGCACTGCGTGAATTCTCTCCGTATGCGCTGCATGCCTGCCAACCAGGGGAGATGGAGCTGCTTCCTGTATCTCTGCCGCACACCTGTCAGGTGGGAGGCCTCTGTGACAAACAGCTGCTTAGCTCAGCGGAACTGGATTTCTAGGCTGCAGGTCAATCTCACCAATATGCAAAATGGCAGCCTCATTTCCCAAGTCCTGCCCGGTGTGTCTCTGGCTTAGTGCCCCCAGGTGTTTGGAAGAGCATGTCCAGATTCGAGTTGATGCATCGCCGGACAGCTTAGCCTTCCTGGTGCCAGGGGATGGACAGGGGACGATCATCCTGCCTCTCTTGTCCAAGCAGCCCTGGAGGGGGACTGCAGGGTCGGCAGGTGCTTGGGTCCCAGTGTGCTCAGACATGTGCTTAGGAAAGCACCCCCTTCCTGCTCCACAGGACCACTGGGTGGCTCCAAGAGGACACACGCAGGCTGGGCTCCAGCAGCACACCTGCTGTCAGATGGCCCTCAGAGGGGAAGCCTGATGCCTGCTAGCCCTGGGCTTGGGCTAACACTTTCAGGGACACAGCCTGTAACGTTATCCTCCCTCAGATGGAACCTGCAGCACCAAGGTAGGACTCAGAACTGCAGCCTCCTGTCCCAGGGGCGGCTCCAGATCTTCACGCCAGGCATTCATGCCTGGGGACAAAACCACAGGAACTGGGGGACACAGGCGGGGGAGGAGGTTCTTACCGCTGGTGACTGGTCCATGGACAGCAGTGGCGACTGGGACCACGTGAGTCCCGTTCTGAGTTACAGTTTTTATCGGTAGCTGGTGTTGGCCTAGCGGTGCCTGCTGTACTATGGTGACCGTCTGCACAGGGGTGGACGGGGATGTCTGGATGACCCGGCCAGTGGTCCCCAGTGGGGCATGGCCAATCGCAGGGAGAGGCTCCACTTTGACTGAGGAAAAAGGAGAGAGAAACCATGTGAACCCAGTCAGCCAGGCCGGGGTGGCAGTCTCCAGCAGCAGCCAGCCTCACCTTTCACTTCACGGTGATCCCCATTCTCCTGTGGCTCCACTTTAGGAGGGGTGACCACGGCCGCCTGGGCGACCACTGTCGGTCCAGTGACAGCATATGTGCTTGCTGGTGCTAGCCCGGTGACGCTGGTGACTGCGCCTGCGGGGAGCTGGTGGACCACGTGGACCGTCTGCACGACGGGATGCTGGGAGGTGGAGGTTGTCACGGGGGCGGCCACCGCATAGGTGACGGGCTTCATCGTCTGTGGGAGCTGCCGCTGCACCGTTATGAGCACTGGCTGGCTGGACAGAGGGGAGCCTGTGGGGCCAAGGAGACGGTGAGGATCCACGCCCACGACCCCAGCACAGAGGACCGATGAGGCTCAATGCTGTCTTCCCAACAGAGCCCCCGAGGATTCCCTGCCTAAGACTAACACAGAGCCCCCCAAAGACCTCCTGTCTGCTACTTCAACACAGGGCTCCTCGAGGGCCTCCTGCCTGAAACCTCAACACATAAACCTCCCAAGAATCCCCCAACTGTAACGCTGAACACGACGCCAACAGAGCCCCCCTGAAGACCCCCACCTGTAACTCTGACACAGCTCCCCCGAGGACCCCTGTTCATGTCCCTGACACAGAGCCCCCGAGGACCACTGGGACTGTGGGTAGTCCACTCTACCTGCAGCATGGAGAGATTCTGTGTGGGTTCTCAGAGGCCTAGGACCCAGTCCTTCTCCCCAGGGGCCTAGGACTCCACACTGCGGTTGGCTGCCAAGTGTGTCAGCAGGATGGAGCCCACTGAGGGTTCAGCTGGGAGCTGGCCCTGACTGGATGGCAGTCCACGTTCTGAGATCTGTCAGATCCCCCATTTAAGCTGCCCACACACTTGTCCCGATGCTCTCTGCTCACAAGTGTCCATAAGGACATGCAAAGACTAGGCCCTGCTGGTCACAACAGCAGGGGCTCATCTGATGACCAAAGCCATCCCAGGAGAATAAGGAATCCTGCCAACTGACCTTTGCCCTTTTGGGGTCTGTGTTACACTAGATGAACATTAAGACTTGGATCAACTTGACTAGGAACTGCATTTATCATAGAACACACTTGGCCAGTGGCCTGGGAAACAAAAGTCTGGGTTCACCTGTCCCAATGCATCCATTTTCATTCTGTCTCGACTGCGAATAGGTCACTTACTTGAAACCCATGCAGGGCCTGGTCTGTAGTGTCTATCTAGGGGGTGACTTTCACAGGTTTCCACAGGTGAGGAGTGACAGGAGTGTGTATGTGGCCCTAGGCACATGGAACATGAGGGTCACTGGCCTTCACGAGCCTCAGGGATCACACACCAGGCCTAAGGCTTCCAGAAGTCTGGGGTTTGTGGTTGGAGTGCTCACCTGGTGCACTCTGGGCAAAGCGCGCCTCCTGGATGACGGCCAGCTTGGGCTGGGCGCCTCCCGGCTCGGGCTCCAGGGGGGCTGGCGAGCCTTCCCGGGACAGGCTCTCAGGGGTCTGTGCCCCACTGGAGTGAGCAGACAGCACGCCCGCGTGGTTGGGAGAAGCCGGCGCACTCCTATGTGGTCAAGAGAAGACAGAGTGACAGCTAGCATGTGCCAGGGCCCAGCCCTCTTGAGCCCGCCTGCACACATAAAGGAGCTTGGTAGACGGTTTCCCGGTCAGTCTCTGCCCTTCTCAGACTCCTGGGCAGAGGTGGGCCCTCAGCAGGTTGGGCAGTCCTGAGCCCTGACCCCTTGCAGGTCCTGCAGCCACAGACCTGGAGTGGGGCTCCAGCCCCGACGCCCAGTCAGACTTGCGGCTGAAGGCCTTCAAGTCCATTACAGTCTACTTATAAACTGGTAGCTAACAAAGGAGCTCCACGTCTGTAATCTGAAACCTAGGCAAAAGCAACAGTGTGTAAACCAATCTAAAAGCACCTTGAGAGAGCAGGGCAAAGATGAGGGACTGTCACCTTCACAGACCAGGTGACTCACACAGAAGCCTGCAGCCTCAGTAACACGTTGGGTGCCCATGAAACCCATCCATGCAGGTGACAGCACTGGGGGCCATGGACCTTGGGGAGAGGAGCCCTCTTCCACCATCCAGTCTTACTGCCCACTTGCAGGCTCCTGGATGAAGGAGGCCTGTCTGTGCTCACCTGGAGGACAGGGGCCCCAGGGGGGTTCTGAAGCAAGGCACGCCCCGTGGCCGTCTCTTTCGGAAGGCCTGCTCCATCAGCTTGCTCTCAGAGGCGGGATCTATCCTCCAGAAGGACCCTTTGCCTGGTTCCTCCTGGGAACGTGGGACTTTGATGAAGTAACGGTTCAGAGAGAGGTTGTGGCGGATCGAATTCTGGAGAGAGATGAGAGCGCTGATGCAACTGAAAACCACCCAGCTCCCTCAGTGAACAGAGTGCAAAGCAGAGCAGCGATCTGTCTGAAGCTAGAAGGGGACCCTGGGATGTGGGTGCGGCAGAGCCTCCAGGCGCTGTTGACAGGAGCAGACAGCATGTGCTGGGGTCTGGGGTCCCAGCAGCCCTTCCTTTGGCTGAGAGCAGCACCAGAAGGGAACAAGGGAGAGCATCAGCCCCAACACTAGACAGGACGGGAACAACGTGTCTTAACAAAGACAAGTGATCAGTGCAATAGCAGGCAGCCAGGGCCGGCCACCTCACCTCAGCAATTTGGGCCAGGAAAAGTGCTTTCTGAGGATACAGGTGGTTAGAGTCTGGCCAGGACATCAAGCTCCAGGTGTTCCAAGTGACCAGGCGGGTGTCCATGCTCTGCACTAGGGCCTCGAGGGTCTGGGATCCCTCCAGCCACTGAGGCAGGTGTAAGCTCTCATCTGATTGTCTGGTCTATAATTCACCTTCAGCTCTTTCAGACCAAACATAGTGACATCACTAAAGCACACACTACATAGCCCAAAGACCCAGATGGGGCTGAAGGCAGAAACACATCCCAGACCCAACCAGCAAGCCCAGGGCACACGCCTATGGAGTCTGGACTCAAACCCACTCCCTTGTCCACCGGTCAGGGCCCAGGGCTCTTATAAACACTGGAGGCCTGGGTTGGTGGAGATGGCTATGAGGACTGCTCACAGCAGTTACACAGTGTCATTCCTTCCATCAGGGCAACAGGGGGCAGACCCTCTCTGCCCTCCATGACCCAGCTGCCCCCCATCTCAACCTATGACCCAGCTGCCCTCTGCCCCAGATGATGACCCAGCTGCCCCCCACCCCAGTGACCCAGCTGCCCCGTGATGACCCAGCTACCCTCGGCCCCAGCCAATGACCCGGCTGCCCCCCACCCCAGCTGTCCCCTCTGATGAAACAAGACCCCAGTCCCAGCTGCCCTCCAACCCCAGCTAATGACCCGGCTTCCCCCTGTGATGGATGACCTGGCTGCCTCCTGTGATGACCCAGCTGCTCCCCCCACCACAGCCAATGACCTGGCTGCCCCCAGCTGATGACCCGAGTGCGGCCCATTCCCCAGATGGTGAGGATGGCTACACAGGCACTTTTCTCAATGATCACACTTATGACAATACAGACTGTAGCCATTCCTCATTGCGCAATAAGTTTAAACGCCCTCCACATAAATCCTCTCTTGGTTGGTTCAGATCCTTCCTCGGGCTTCCCTGGGCTGTCTGATGTGAGGTTAAACTGGGCACTGACCACATGGATTGACACTAGTACTGCAGGAGCTGAACTAGCCCAAGCAAGGGCCCAGACACACACGGAGTAGGGGTGCAGTGGGCGGTGTGACCCAGTGTGCACAGTTCCTCAGCACAGGGACACGGGCAGGTGCAGTTTCCAAGGTCAAGCCTTCACTGCAGGGGCTTGCGGGAAGTGGCATCAGGCCCCACAGGGTCTCTGAGCTCAGGGCCTCGTCCACCCAGCTCCCCCTCTCCCCCGTGCCCGAGGGAACAAAGCCCGGACAGTGTCGGAGACCCAGCGACACGCACCTGCCAGCCCTTGTCTGCGGTCCTGTAGTAAGGGTAGTTCTTGGTGATGTGCGTGTAGATCCCATTGAGGGTGAGCTGCTTATCGGGGGCCATTGTGATTGCTTGTACAATGAGCTGCGCATAGGAGTATGGAGGCTTCGAGTCATCCTGCACGGAGGGAGAGAGGCCTGCCGTCAACGGAGTAGGGGGTATGGGTGTGGGGTGTAGGCACTCTCTCTCTCATCCCGCATACCCCTGCCCACTCTTGCTCTGGTAGGACATTCAGCCCCGTACACGCTTGTTCATTCGAACATGTGCTCGCTTGCTCACTCACATACACCCTTGTTAACACAGGGCATTCGCTCAAGTAGTGCGCTTACTGCAATGTGAGGATTACGTCTCATTCTGAGAATACTCAGTTACTGTTAAAGCAGCATATATTGATTTTAGAGAATCTGAAAAATGTGGAGGAAACAAGGAAGTAACAATAGTATACAGAACAATTAAAGGTCACTGTTGAAGACCCTCAGGCAGCAAAAGCAAAAAGAAACTGCCTCATAAGGGGTGGAGGGTGGGGCAGAGGTGTGGCCTAGGGAGTGTGTACAGGGACTGGTGGGGGCTGCGCTGCACACCTTGAAGTAGGTGTTCCCTTGAGGGAGTCCCTCTGTGCACAGGGCCAAAGGCCTGCTTGTGAGACATGTACATCTGCACACATGATGGATAATACTGTGCTGTATGAGGAACAGTAAACTGTCAAAGAATACATTCAGTACAAGCCAATGGAAGGCATGCCTAAATAACGTGTCTCCAGAAACTCCACGAACTTTGACAAATGTGAATAGTCATAGAGGGGCTTCAGGACTTTTGTTCACAGGGTTGCTATGAGTCATGCTCGACCCAAAAGCAAATCAACAACAATGCACAGAATTGTAGAAGAGAACATCAATTATTCATGTGCAAGTTCAAACTGAAGCTGAAGAAAATGAAAACAAATCTGAGAACCAAGTACAACCTTGAGTTCATCCCACCTGACTTCAAAAACTGTCTCAAGAAAAATTCGATGCATCGGTCACTAAGGACCAGCCAAACTGTGAAATGACATTAGGAACATTACCCATGAAGAAAACAAAAAATCACACACAAAAAACCCAAACCCGAGGTGAGAAAGGATAGATGTCAGACATCCGTTTTCAATATATAAAAGCCAAAATAAAGATAAGAAATGATTGATGACATCAGAGCTGAACAGATTTCAAAGGGCAACTCGAGAAGACAAAGCAAAGCATTATAACAAAACATGCAAAGACCTTGAAGTTAGAAAGCCAAAGAGGAAGAACAAGCATGGCACTTCTCAAACTGAGACCTGAAGAATAAAGTCAGGAGTGTACCCCTGAGTTATAATACTGAAGGACTGAATGGTGCTTGAAGTGTAAATGAAGATGAAAGAACACAGTCACTGGGCCAAAAAGAACTGGCTGACACTTGTTGCTGTTGTGTACCAGAGTCAGAACCAACTCACAGCTGACCTTCCTGCGGGTTTTCAGAGGCAGTTCATTGCATAGGAAGAAACTGTCCATTGTTCTCCTGCAGAACAGCTAGTGGCCTTGAACCCTGGGATTCTGGAATTGCAGCATAGCTTCTTCTTCTTCTTCTTTTTTTTAATTTTCATGAAAATTTACAGAGACTTTGGATTTCCATTCATTCATTGTTGCATTTTCTCCCTGTCCACCCCTCCCCTCCAGATAGCTTCTTGACACTAGAGCACCAGAGCTCCCTGAGCCATTTAAAACAATAGAACACAATCAAGAACCAATGGTTTCAAAGGAAGAAACCCAAGTTGCACTGAAGGCACTGGCAAAAAAGTAAGCCCCAGAAATTGATGCAAGACCACTCGAGGTGCTTCAACACACAGATTCAGTCCTTGATTCGCTAAGAAATTTGTAAGACAGTTACCTGGCCAACTGCCTAAAAGGCTGACATATTTGTTCCCATTAGAAATAAGGTGACCCAACAGCATTTAGCAATTATGACACAAAATCATTACTATCACATGCAATTAAAATCTTGCTATTATAAAAAGATGGCTGGTAAGGGGAGCTCTGGTGGCCTAGTGGCAAGAAGCTGCACTGCAATCCCAGAGGCGCACGGTTCGAATCCACCAGATGCTCTGCTGGGGAAGGAGGGACAATCACTTCCTGTACCAGTCAGATCTGATTTGACGGTACACGCACACACACAAATAATAAAAAAAAAAAAAAAAAAAAAATTAAAAAAATGCCTGGTACAAGAAGGCACTTCCAGAAATGCAAGCTGGATTCAGAAGAGAGAGAACAAAGGATGTCACTGCAGATACTGTATGGATCTTGACTGAAAGCAGAGAACACTAAAAGATGTTCACCTGTGTTTTACTGATTATGCAAAGGCATTCAACTCTGAGATCGTAACAAATGATGGATAACACTGAGAAGAATGGCAATCCCTGAACACTCAACTATGTTCATGTGAAATCTGACGAAGATGAGGTTTTTTGAAGAGAACAACGAAACACTGTACAGCTTAAAGTCAAGAGAGGTATGTAAAGGCTATATCCTTTCTCCATTTTATTCAATCAATATGCTGAGTAAATCTTTTAAGAGACTGAATTATATGAAGATGGACTTGGTATCAGGATTGAAGGAAAACTTACCAATAACCTGCATTATGCATGTAATACAGCCTAGCTTGCATAAAGTGAAAGACTTGAAACACTGCAGGTCAAAGACTATACAGCCTTCAATATGATTACATTACAACATCAAGAAAACAAAAATACTCACATCTGGACCAACAGGAGGAAATGTCAGGATTAGAGAAAAGACTGACAATGTCAATGATGTACTTTTACTTTGACCCATAATCAATGCTCATGGTAGCAGCAGTCAAGAAATGAAAAGACATGTTGCACTGAACAGATCTGCTATCAAGGACCTCTCCTCTCCAAAGTGATAAAAAAGCAATGATATCAAGTTTAAACACTAAAGCGTGCCTGGTCCAAGCTTTGATAGTTTCAATTGCTACCTATGCATCTGAAAGTCGGACAACACATAAAGGAAATCAAAGAACTCATGTCTTTGAAAAGTCCTGAACAAAGAGCAAGTCTGTGCTGAAAGAAGTGCAACCAGGGTGCTACTTGCAGGCAAGGACAGAGAAACATCTTCTCACGTCCTTTGGGTTTGTTTGTCAGGATGGGTCATTCCTTGGAAATCATGCTTCAAAGTAGAGGGTCTTCAAACGAGAGGAAGACCCGCAAAAGGGTATACTGACAGTTCCTGCAATGGAGGGCTTGAGCACGACAGAGCTTGTAAGCCTGGCACAGGATCTCTGGGCAAATGTGTTCTCCACGTTGGAGGGGAGTGGATGGGTCAGAGAACAGTGGAAGGCCTGGGCAGGAGTAAGAAGGGGCAGGAGGACAGGGGATGCATCGTGTGTGACATCATGGTCTCCAGTTTAACCACCCATGGGGTGGCCCCGAGGCAGGCCAACACTGCCGATGGTCTCCGCAGCACCCACACTTCTGGAGGCTGGCGTCTCTTGCTACAGTCAGGCAGGACCTGCAGCAAGGACACAGGCTGACATTTGGCTGACAGAGTGGGGCCCTGGCCAGTGAGTGGGTCATGCTGTTCAGAGGTTCTCTTTCATTTCTGATGTTTCTAGAAACCTCTCTTACTGAAAAGCAGAATGCTGAGAAAAGAGTGCTCAAGGCACACTTACTAGGTGCCCCACTACCTCCCTGAGCACTAGACTCTGAACATCATCAGGGTAGTGATGATGCCAGGGCAAGGCAGACAGTTCCCAGAGGGTTCCATGCACGCTTCTCGGCCTGATCACCACTGACTCAGGGCTACCTCTGGATACCAGATGTCAGCACAGTGGCTTGGTGGGTGGGCCTTGGTGCCATCTGGATACCTGCACTTGAAGGCATGCTCACCAGTCAGTGCAGACCAAGTACCTGATGCACTCAGAAACTGACTTGAGTGCTGGGGCCTCGCAGCAAAGGTCTCAGGGCCACTGTTGTCAGGGTAGAAGCCTTTACCTTTGGGCTGTCTCCACCTGAGGTCTCCTTCTCATTCTCGGGCTGTGAGCTGTCAGCCATTAAGTTGAGGTCAGCTGGTATCCCACGGCCCACCTTGTATCCCGAAGACCCAGCCCCACGGGGGCTGGACGGGCAGGAGTTGGCAGCGCTGTGGGAGACAAAGGTGTCTGTGTTACTCCATCAGCGGACACACAAAGACACTGAAGCCAGGGTCACTGGAACCTGCAGTAGACAGACAAAATTCTCCCGACCGGGGAGAGCATCTGAAGAGGCTCTCCTCCCGCGTGTTATCACAGATAACATGCAGACAAGCTCTCCTGGGGCAAGATGAGGCAAGGGATGGCCCCTCTGCACTCACGTCCATTTGGTCACATATGGACAGTGCAAAGAGGGCAGACCATCAAGGGGAACCCCGAGCCAGGCATGCACTCTGAGCTTGGACATAGCAGTTGCCCAGTGGAGCCCAATCTGGCCAGATGCCCCTACCTAACAAAGCACACACTTCTCTGTGCCAGGTCTCAGAGGCTGTGAGCACTTGAAGGTGTGGAGGTGAAGGTCCAGGGGCTCCTGGGTTCTCATTGGTCTTCCTGTGGCCACCACACTGCAGGGACAGCTCTGAGCAGATGAGACTCGCTTCACAGCAGTGCCCTCTCACAAGGACCTGATCCCACTGCTGGGGTAAAGCACTCCCATCCCCATGGTGGGGTGGTGGCCAGCTCATGGTAACACTGTGTACACACCGACAGCTGAGAGGCAGGTTGACACAAGCCGTCAGCAGGTCTTTCTTGCTAGTCTATCCCAATGGGAATGCTCTGCTGAGACCTGCTCAGTGTCACAGGCAAAGACATGTCTCTGCTCCTTGTCGGCTGTGACAGGAGGTGCACTGACTGGCCACCCTCAGTCCCCCACATGTGGCTGTCAGGTGTGCTCCCGTCTGCTCCAACTCACAATCACCTGATCATTGGACATGTGAGAGCGAGATGGGCCAGCTACGTCCAGGTCACTGATGCAGCTGCTCTACCAAGGCATCTCGCCAACGCTCTTCCTGCTTCAGGATCTCTAACACAGAAGGCGCGAGTGCTACCAAGAATCCCGCTCGCTAGCTCACCCGTCACTCTCTCACACACACACGCCATCCAAGGGAACTGGTGTGCACCACCCCACCCCTGTATACTAAAAGTGTCCCTGATGACCCACTGAGAGACCTCGTGGCCTCTAGGCACATCCCTGGTGTGGAGTCTTTGCACTGGGCACTTCTGGTGGTGGTGGTATGGATGTCTTTGTTCTGTCTGCTTTTCTGTACCATTTCCTTCACTGTCATTGTTTTAGTGTTTTCCAAGTCCTTGTGACTTCTCTCTCCCCCTTTCCTGGTAGGAGTTAGTAAATTTTTTTCTAAGGTAAGTTATTGTTTAATCCTCAAGTCACTTATCTTGAAGTGTCCTCGACTTCCTCAGCATTTGGACATTTGGTAACTACATTTCTTGGTCCCCTCCTGCCGTGTTGCTGTCATTAGTCACAGACACCACCTCATCTTCTAGTTCTAGTCTCGCATGTTTATCGTACTTTGTGTATGTCTGTGTCTGGTTCAAGTTCTGAATAATGCTGTCACGAGTGTTAATTCTGGACTGCTGACCATCATTGCTGGTTCTCAGTTCAAAGAACTACTTCTAGGATTTCCTGTAAGGCTGCTCTAGCTTTCACAAATTCATTTCTGTTCATCTGGAAATAGCCTCGCTTCTCCACCCTATCTGAGGAAATTTTTCTGGGTATAAAATTCTTCATTGGCAATTTTCTTCTTTCTGAATTTTATGTCTGTCTGCCCACTAGCTTCTTGTGTGCACAGTTTCTGCTGAGAAATTGGACCATCACCTTCATAATTCTTCCTAGTAGCTTCTGCACTGCTTTTTAATTCTGGAGAAACTGATTAAGATGTATCTTGGTGTTTTACCTTTTGGGTCATTTCTGGTTGGGGTCAGCTTAGCTTTTCAAATGCATATTTTCTTGTTTTTCATCATGCTTGGTATCTTATAGCAAATCTTGGAGTGACCTCTGTGTCTTTCCTGTTCTGGAATCCCAATCACACCTAAATGATTCCCCTGATGATGTCTGCACTCTCATGCACTTAGTACAACCTAAGTGCCCATCCACAAACAAATGGGTAGAGAAGCTGTGGTATATTCACACAATGGAATACTACGCTGCATTGAAAAACAAGGAACTCATGTAATATTATTCAGAATGCGTGACCCTGGAGGACATTATGCTGAGTGAAATATCCCAGTCACAAAAGGGACAAATACTGCATGGTGCCACTATTGTAAAACAGGACTAACATCGGGGTTGGGGGAAGACTGAGAAAGATGGGTTCAATAACGTATACTGCATTGAAACAGATAAGGGAGAAAATTGTTTAAAAGGGATATGATTAGGTATTTTTGTCATGAGAGGAGTCCAGAGCGAAGGCTGCACAGTGGAGTGGACCTGGGGAGAGGGATTGTAAAACAATGAAAGAATTTTTCTTTTACTTTTCCAAGAGGGTAGTGTACTAGGGGGGGAGGGTTGGGAGGGGAGAAAAGTGCAACAATGAATGAATGGAAACCCAGTCTCTGTAAATTTTCATTGAAATTAATAATAAATTGAAAAAGAAAAAAAAACCCAAAAAACAAAAAATATTCTTAGATATTTTCAGAACTATTCATGTTAAGAAAAACTGTTCTTGTTTTGGAAGAAAGAAATGTAAATGCTGATGTGCATGAGTAATTCCTGGATGTAAGTTTATGTGGTGAGGAGATGAAGGAGTGAGAAGAACTAGAGAAGGAAAGCAGTGAGGTGCCGAGAGCGGCCAGCATCTGTGGAGATGCTTAGCTCAGGAGGCCTTCAGTACGCAGTAGAATCCAGTGACTAAGGACAGCATACATGCATACTGACGTAACGAGTAAACTTCAAGACTGAAAGTAAGTCAAACTTAAGGAACACTGAGCTTCCGTTAAGGGCAATGGAAACATTTATTTAGGGATGTGGTTGAACAATAAGATGAATGTTATGAATGTCACTGAACCATCTATGTGAAGACTGTAGAAACCACAAATATTTTGTTACCTACGTATCTGCTACAATAATAAAATCATGGCCACTGCAGGTGGGGAACAAATCAACCTAACTGTACTAGAAACAAAGACACCAAGTTTTCAGAATTTACACACAACTGCAGAAAACAGAAAATTCAAATGAAAACCTCTGACATTCAACAAGTATCAGAAATCATCTGCCTGTTGATTTTTTTTTCCTGCCTATTGAATTTATATGCATCAAAGTCTCCCTCAATGAAACCAGGAGCATTTGGGAATTTCATTTCACAGGAAGCTGAGGGCACAAGGGTTTTGGGATTACATGACATCACCAATGTTCAACTAGTGACCAGGGAGCCTCAGGACCCATCAGTGCACTGCCAGGGGCAGTGATCAGGAAGAAGAGAGGAGGTGGCCAGGGAGGAGGGGAGAACTCTGAGAGCACAGCCCTTGGTGTCCTGTGCACAAGTCTGGGAACCACTTACCTGATGGTGCCTGTCGGGGATGGCAGGGGACTGATGAGGTGGGCCATGGAGTCTGGAATGTTGATGGTCAAGGGCGAGATCTGGGGCTGCACAGGCTTTACGGGAGATGCGGGAGCCTCCTGCTTCTCCCTGCGTTCGCTGGACAGGGCAGTGAAAGTTATCTTGATGTTCGTGCTGGGGAACCGGAACGTGCACCTGGAAGGAGAGCGAACTTAAGCCTGCATGTGGCTGGATGGGACACTGCAGGCAGGCAAGGGTCAGCACTACCAATCTGCCCGGGGCTCAGACACCCTTGGCATGGGAAGCTCCACCTCAAAGCCCCACCGACTGGGGATCTGTGGAATGAACAGTGTATCTTATGACAGGTTCAAGACAACACCCAGGCCAGGCATATGGACATGCAGATAAGTGGCCATTGGTACCAGTCAGGCCCAGGGAAAGCCCTGCAGTAGAGGGAGCCAGGTGACTGCGCTCACATAGACATTGGCAGGGGAGGCCTCAGCCAGTGTCCTGACTGCCCAGGACATGCATGATTCTGAAGGGCTAGAGTTCTGGGTGCCAGTACACCTGGTCAAGAGCCAGGACAGCCCCAGGGAGCATTATGGGAGGTAGGCTGCCTGTGAAGACACCAAAAAGGACACTTGTGACAGTACAGACAGAGCAGCCTAAGCACACTATCAGCAAGCACGCAAGTGTCTGCAGTACCGCACCTCCGTCCACAGGGCGAATGGGAAAGGGAACCCAGGAACATGCACCTGCAAGACCGCAACAAAGTCCACAGGGCATGCAAGAAAGGGAACCCGGGTACACAAGTGTCTGCAGGACCGCACTCAGGTCCACAAGGCAAGCAGGAAAGGGAACCTGGGCACACGCAGCTATAGGACCACACCCCCATTAACAAGGCAAGCGGGAAAGAGAACCCGGGTATACAAGTGTCTGCAGGACCGCACTCAGGTCCCCAAGGCAAGCAGGAAAGGAAATCTGGTAACACACTAACAGGGCATGCGAGAAAGGGAACCCGGGTACACAAATGTCTGCAGGACCGCACCCCCATCCACAGGGTGTGCAGGAAAGGGAACTTGGGCACAGGTACTGCAGGGCTGTACCCCCTGTCCACAGAAAGTGCAGGGGGAAAAATGTATCGGATATAGTCTGCCTAGAGTGTTATTCACAGAGACATTTTCTACTTTGTCTTTTAGATAATTTATCAATTGTGTGGTCAACACAAAGATGGGGAGGCTGCCTGAAGCAGGGGCGCAGCCTTGCAATGCATGAGTCCTCATGATAGGACAGGTTTATCAAAAGGCAACCCCTACTCAAGCATGCATGACCCAGACAGCATGAATGACCACTATCCTTGTTTCTAAAGCTGTACGTCCTTCAAGATTTGCTTCTTCTAGCAGTCTATGGAATATGCAGTACTCTTCAACACCAAATTCAAAGGCATCAAATCTTTGGTCTTCCTTATTTAATCTGTCACGTAGAAAGCCAGTAAAAATACTACACTTTTAACTGAGTAAACCTTAGTATTAAAACTGACATTCTTGCTCTTAAATACTTTGTAGAAAGGTCTGTGATACAATGAATTGGCAATAACTAATAATTACAATTAGTAAGAAGCTCTGGCGGCTTGGTGGTAAGAAGTTGCACTGCCGGCCCAGAGGCGTGCACTTTGAATTCACCAGCTTTTCCACAGGAGCAAGGTGGGCAATGTCCTCCTGGGTGACTGATGCCACTGGAGGAAGAGTGAGGGGAACATTCCAACTTGGCAGTACACAACATGGCCCTTCCACCTATAGCTTTCTCCTCTCTCTGCTCAATGCCTTGCGTCAAAATTGACTCATAGCTGATCCCCTACTGGGTTTCTGAGACTGTAAATCATATGAGAGGAGAGGGTCCATCTGTCTCTCTAGGGGTGTCCGGTGGACTTGAACCTCAGATAAGTGGGGCACCAAGGCCCCCTTCCATTTTACTTTGAATTGTAAACTCTTTGTGCATTCTGGAGAAAGCTGTGTGTCGTGTAGCTGTAGCATGTATCTGGAATCCCCACCTCACCAGAGAGTACGACCCTCAGTTATTCATTCTCTTTGGGTGGGCCATAGCCCTGAGAGGCCATGGAGAGGAGTGCTCTAGACACTGCATGCACCTGGCCCAGCTGCTCAGGAGCTGAGAGTTGTGGCCTGGAGACACCCTCTGCACCTACGTATGGGTGTGGACCATGCACACCAGCCTGATCCACAGACAAACTTGCCACTTCTGTAGTTTCTGAGACAACCCCCCACCCCACCCTCAGTGAGTTAGAGAGCTCACTGACAGAGAAATGAGTGAGGAGGGTAGCGGAGGAGGAATTACCAGTAGAAATGGTGAAGTGGGACAACAGTTTCAAAGGGGGAGATCCATAAATTTCACCTCAGAGGAACCAACTTTGTAGAAACTCTCTTAAAAGAGATTATTTGTGTAAATTCCTTGACAGCAGATTTGCCCAACATAATGCAGCTTCTGAGATCCTGGACCACTCCTTCCACGGACACTGACTACGGACGCTAGGAGAATGAAAGCCATGAAAGCATCAACCTTCAACTGTGATGTGTGCTGACTGCTGGCTGGTGATGACCCAAGCCGCACACGGACTGGAGTCTGAGAGAGCCTTCCAACTTGAAAAGCTATCAGTGTCCCTCAACGTGATCCAAATGGTTCAAATAAAACTACTCATGGCCACTCTCAACATACCATCAACTGTGGCTCACAAGCCAGGGAACCACTGGGAAGACCAGACTGAATGCGTCCACAGATCAACTCCAAATGAGGCCAGAGTGCAGAGCGCCAACCCCCAGCAGTGGACCTCTGCGCAGGAGACCCCCAGGCAGCAGAATCTTGAGGCCTCTAACTAGGAACAGACCCCAAAGGAGCTGGCCGAGTTCTGCAGGAGGTGCTGGGTGAGCCACACCATACGATCTAGAAGAGCACAGGGCTAGTAAAAGCAGAAGGAGCTCTGTGGTGTAGTCCACAGTGCTGCTGACCCAAAAGCCACTCCTCCCTGGAGGCAGAAGCCACCAGGAGCTCATGGGAGGAAGAATGGCTACCTCCTCCTGAGGGATCTGGAAACTCGTGGAGGATCAACCATGAGTCAGTTTTAAGTAGATGACAGTGAGTGTGGGTAACATGTGGGGAGAGCCACTGCTAGAGGGCGCAGGCGGGACTGCTGGGCGTCAGCAAGGTAAGCTGAGTACTGGCGGAGAAAAGGGCAGGTACGGGACTGACACTATTAGGCAGTAAGTAGCAGGAAAGGAGGCTGCAGAGTAGAGAGAAGTGCAGACTTGGGCTAGAGATGAGCAAGGGATCCACCGTTAAGCACAGGTGCTTTCAGTACTCCCATTTTCATGTCTCTCCAGTAGATCTGCTCTGCAGAAGCTCCTACCTCCTTCAGGTCCCCAATCCAAACACCGAAATGCTCTGGAAACTCTGACCTAAATCACTGCAGTGGCTTCTGACCTGAGCTGAGAAGGAGCTAATTATAGCACTAACTGGCCCACTTCGTGAGAACGCCACGTGTCCACTGCAGCAATGCTAGTGTGGCTGACTGTAGAGGGTTGGCGGACACAGGATGCACCACGAGTCACTAGTGGAGACCATGCTGACCACAATAAGGCTCTGGACTTGGCCTGGCGATGTCCCGCAGGCCAGGGAGCTCAGAGGAGGAAGGAGTAGACAGACAGAGCAGTGGAGCTGAGAAGCCCAGAGAGGAAATGGGACAGGTGCAATTACAACCAGGGGACTGAAATCAATGTCATATGCAGCGTCATGGAAATGCAGTCGGCTCTGAGAGTGACCTCAAATCGCAGGAACTTCAGAGAGACGGGAGCTCCCGGCCATCAGTGATGGCAAAGGACAATGTAGGTTTATTAAAAAAGCACCATTCTGACAGAGAGCATATCCAACTTCACACTCACAGCATTTTCAAATGGAGGAGAAAAGGACTTAGAAAAGCCTGAAAAGACAAAATGAAAGTATTGGAAAGAACAGGGTATGTGGCTGAGGAAGATGACTTGTGGGCTCTGAAGACGGTGACAAGCCATATTGTGGACACAGTGCTGGTGGGAGGGCCCAGTGACCCTGTCCACACTGCACTCTCCACTGACTCTGGAATTCTCCCTGAGATCAACCCCTCCTGGTAATCACCCAGGGAGAGCCAGGCACCACTCAGACAGACAGGTACTGCAGAAAAGGGAGACACACAAGCTGGTCAGTACTCAGAAGGCAGCCCCCAACCCAAACGCTGTCACCCTGGGACATGGGGACGTTCCCCCCTGGCCCACAGTTCCCCTCACTTCCCATTCTCCTATCTCCCAAAGGTGACAGTGACACAGAAGCAGGAGCCACAGTGCTCAGGTGATTCAATGTGAGAAGATATTTGTTAGGAAGCTCTCTGAGAGCTACAGTCCATCACACATACTGTGATTTTTTAACAAAGATTTCACTAAACAAATTAACATCTATCAGCCTAGTGGTCTAGAAATTGTGCTGTCAACCCTAAGGCAGGCAGTTCGAACCCACCAGGTTGCTCCATGGAAGAAAGATGGGCAATATGGGCAATCTCTTCTTGTGTGATTTACAGCCTCTGAAACCAGCTGGAGAGAGATGGCTATCAGTACGTTCCAACATGCCAGCACGCCAACCTGCCTACCCACCACTGCGGAGTTGATTCCAATCCACAGTGACCCTTCAGGACAAAGCAGAATGGTCCCATGGTCCCAAGAGCTGATTTTCCACACCATCCTAGAGAGGCTTAAACCAGGCTACTCCTTGGAGGCAAGGATTCTGGGGCTTCTTCGTCTGACATACTTTGGACATGTTGTAAGGAGAGACAGGTCCTTGGAGAGGGACATCATGCTGGGTAGAGTAGAGGAACA